TGTAATCCTATCAGGTACCAAGTAGCTCAAGTGAAGTAGGTGCCAGTCTTCCAGTACAATGGCCCTTTTGACACAGGTTTCTTAATTTTAAAAACAAAATTCCAGTGACATTAGATTAACTCTATTCCTAACATAAAATGCATACCCAGTAACTGCATTCAACTCCAGTGTAGTGAAATCCATTTTTGCTACAGCCACCCCATCAATACTTCACACTTGTTTCTCCAAACTTAATTTTCCTCTTCAGAGTTTTCACCAGAGTAGTACTGTAACTGCTTGCAAGGTGTCTTTATGGATTATATGTGATCTACAAACTAATGCTTACGGTCCAGTCCAGATATCATGCCGCTGTGCTTCATTTCTAGGATTGTAGTCAGTAGTTGATGTTCAATTTTATTGAAAGGTATTGTTAAGAGGAAATGTCAATTTTTTTGGAAAGGCTTTCCATTAATGGATAGCAATTTTAGATGTACCACTTTCACATTTGTGTAGGGTTATACTAGTATATTGGTTATGGTATTGGACTTCAGTCAAATCGTGGGCAAACAATCTGGAAAGACAGAAAAGAAATTGTGAAATCAAGTCCTAATGGGCAGCCTTAGAAATTTAATTTGATTTTTAATAACTTAAAAATTAAAGAAAACTAGTTTCAGTAAAATGTCTATTATTACAGTCCACTAATCCCTTTAGGATGGGAATCTACTCTTGTTGCTTTTAGCCTATATATGACTCCAGGTCCACACTTTTAATTGCCTTCTAAAATGACCCAGCAAAACCACACAAGTAGGGTGTTCACGAAGACTGGTTTGTCTGCTATTTGAAATGCTATATGTTAGGAGCAAGTGGAAAGAAGTGAACGTCCTCCAGAGAATTGATGCAGTATATTGGGTTTTGTGTCCCCTGAACCCCTTTATGGGACAAGAAGGAAAAACAGTTATGACCTTTTCATTCAATTCTATTTTTTTTTTTGTCTGCTTATGATTTTGGTCCAAGAATAGACTTCCTGTTTTGCTTCTGATCAGCATAGTTTACATGCTGGGGGAAGAGAATGTGTTAACCATCAGTGGTTAAAAAGCTTTGGTTTCTGCTGATGGATAAGGGCAAAGGAAATTGATAGCACCCTGGATTGATGAGTGTCTAGCTGTACTATTCATTCCATAAAGTAGTTATGCTTAACACAAGAGATTCTGAGAAGAGCTTCTGTTTGTAGTTGTTGGGATTTTAAGCATTTATTTTAAAAAGCCTTTGAAATCACTTGCCATTTCAGACCTTTACACAACACCAGATTTGTGAATGACATGGTGTTTGGCAAGTGCATTCTTGGGAGAAACTTTCTCCTTTCATTAATTGTTTCTTAATGTGGCAGTGGGAGCTAAGAAGGCAGATCTTGCTCAGCCCTTCAGATGGTACATATGGTCTGATGGTCAAAAACTATCGAATGGAAGATGCAAGGTTAAGACCGCTATCGTGCAGATGTTTGTGTGAATGATCCTATGATGCTGTGCTGGTTCCTGTTTCCTTCAAAAAAAAAAAAAAATTTTATATTTTATGTAATTCTTTTGCATCCTTCATGCCTCCCAAAATGTTTATTGTCAATTAGTCACTTTAAAGTGTAGTCGCTATTGTAATGCAGGAAATGAAGCAGCTAACTTAAAAACAGCATAGCCCTACAAACAAATGTAACAATGGATTTTTAAAAAAAATTAGGGATAAATGTTTGCCAAGATGCTGAGAACTCCTCTGCTCCTTGAATCATGCCATAGAACCTTTTACATCCACCTGAGAGGTTTGTTGGGCATTTGTTTCAAGTCTAATCTGAAAGACATTGGCCCTGACAGAGATGTCAGTCCCTAGTATTGGTTGCCAGTGTTAAGACATGGAAACAGACAGCCAAATCAATTCAGCCTAACCAATTCAGCCTAACCTGTGATAACAAGGTGTAGAGCTGGATGAACACAGCAGGCCAAGCAGCATCAGGGGAGCAGGAAGGCTGACAATTCGGGCCTCGACCCTTCTTCAGAAAATGGGA